CCGGAGGGTCTTATTTTAGTTACTGACCGGAGGGTCTTATGTGCTTATTCTGAGTTATTTGATATCATGCATTTTGTCTTTGTGATTTATGTTGTATATTATAATGTGCCTTATTGAGTTAGGACCGGAGGGTCCAAACCGAGCTGTGAAACCGGAGGGTCTTCACTGAGACACATGACTGGAGGGTCCTTATTGAGATATAGCCATGAGAGGCTAATTATTTGTGTGTGGTATTTTGGGGAACTCACTAAGCTTCGTGCTTACAGCGTTGTGTGAAATGTGTTTCAGGTACCTCTCAGGACCGCGCGAAGGCGTCGGCTTGATTGTACACACCAGCTTGAGATTATGTTGTTTTGAGGATTCTAGGATATTATCAAACATTTTGTTGTCTTGTGTTTTAAACAACTTATACATTTGGGTTTTGGGAAATGTGAGATTGTGTTTTACGTGGTTTTAAAAATGAAAAAAATTTGTTTGAAAATTTAGAGTGTTACAATAACGGGAAGGGGTAATCGGGTTGGATGTTTTGATGAAAATATATAATTATTGTGGGTTGAAAACCCTATGTGCTCACCAGGCCTCCAAGCCTGACCCACTCAGTTTCTTAATTACAGGTAGTGGCACGATAGCACAAGTGTGATCTTATGATGAGAGATTTATGGATGCTTATAGGCCAGTAGTTTGGATAAACTAGTGTAAGGCCTGTATTATTTTCGTTTATGCTTATGTAATGTACTAACGATGACATCCCAACGTTTTTAATATAAATAAAATACATTTCTTTAGAAATGCTTTAATAATATCTTTACCATTTTTTTGGAAACAAATTCCGCAATATTATTCTTCAAAAATGATATTCTGATTTTTAAATACGCTTAAATAAATTGGTCTTTTCTGCTCTTGAAATTAGGGATGTCACATCTGTTGGATTAGGTGTCTAAGCCCATAACTATTTTTTGGTATGTACTTGATTTGATTATGAGCATGGTCCTTTTGGGTTGCCTTCACTCATGCAACTTGATAGGATGACAAGAGGAGAGAGAGAGAGAGTAGGATTTATTATATGAATGATAAATTGGTACTCAAAATGGTTTTATTAATATATTACAAGATTAATATATTATTTGGAAATCATATTATTTAATTAGTATTGATCAGAAATTAATTTGGAATTAATTTGGTGATCAAAAGAGACTAATTAAATATTTGGGGACTGATATTGCAATTATCTGATAGTTGTAATTTGGGCTGTGGACTCCTTGTAGAAAGGATGGACGAATTCTATGGGAAGCCCATAAGGAATCCGTCCAAGGGGCCTTCTAGAAGGGTTCCTTGGATTGCTTAAGGCCTAAGCAGTCATATTAGGGTTTCAATCTAAAACCCTATTAGCTACAAGTCTAAATAGACCCCATACAAAGGGATTTTCGCCCAATGTTCTTATGAAACCCTAAGGTGGCGAAATTCTTCTCTCCCAAGTCATCCTCCTTGCATTGAGTGTTTGTGACTCCATTAGAGGTGCAACATTTGGGGCACTAAGCGTTAAAAGGTCAAGGAGTTCTTGTTATTGCTACATAACAAGTGAGGTAATGTTCCAAACCCTATTTTACATACGAATTTCAAAATTGGTATGCTAGTTATTAGGGTTTATGCTTTGGATGATTATTTGCATGTATAACTTGAGAAAAACCTAGATCCAAAGCATTAGGGTTGCATGTACACCATAGGAATGTTGTAATGCTCAAAACGCATCAACATCTTCTATAATGGGCTATTGTATTCGTATCAAAACCATTGTTTATATTCTAGACTATATAAAACGTACTCGCATATACCTAATAAGAGCATGGTTATCTACATTATCAACGGGTTATCATTAAAATTAGATTACTTTTAAGCCTCACCCGACAAAGATATCATCTTCCTTATTTCACGGAGACCTATTCCATGATTCTTCTAAATAAATAAAGAATGACATTGACACAATTTATATCATCTCCAAGCATCATATTCTGATAATTTCTCATCTTATGTGATTTTAAACACCAAGAGTTCGAGCCATAGTCACAATTTGTAGTGTATGCAAGGATGTAGTGTCGACAAATAAAAAATTGGGAAAACCATCAACATCTTTATACCAAAGCATGTCAACATTCACAATAGTAGTTGATCCCCTATAGGTGGGGGTACATTTGGCTCGTACTGTCTCCTAATTATCACCGAAAAGGTGCAATATGCCTTCTATTTTTTTGCCCAACAATGCCACAAGCCTATTTTTTTTCCTATCACGTTAGGTTTTCAACCGTTGGGTCGTCAACCTCATTTACATAGTTAACGTTTATGTATTAGACCTTTAACCCTATATACCTAAGTTGTTGGACCTCCTCAATGGTTGTAATCCTTTGTGATCGGTTCAAGTGACCCCCTCTACCTTGGACATGGCTCGATAATGGTATAACAATGACTTTTGATTAGGTAACTAACTTGACTTAAATGTTCAATACTACATATTGAAATGATCTTCATGGTTTAAGATGATACATGAACATTGGTGCTACATCCAATCCTTAGGATGTACCAAATATTCTCAAAATTGTTGTAATAATTTCATATTTGTTTCTATATTAGTTGGAGACTGCTTCTCTATTCCTATAACAAAAACATGGCACACTAAATTACCTTACCCTAACATGTATCGTCCCTTGTACATTTATAACATGATCATCACCCCAACATAATCACAAATCTTAAATATGTTCGTCAATTTAATCTTAATTTCAAGTTCTCCATTAGATTTGACAAATTTGGTATATCAAACACTCATTTGATATGATAGCACCGGTGATTTATACCACACAATCTCTACAACGAATCAAGCTCCTGTTTCCTTCCGGTTTGTCACTTTGGCATCTCAATTTTCTATGTGACTAGGTTTCTACTATTTACTGTCTTATAATACTATTTCATGTAACAAAGAGAAGTCTTGTTTGTGGTTTTGATTTGTTAGTTATGTAAATATGCATGACTTCCTTTTAATGTTTCCAATTATGTAGTTCCTTTTTTGTTTGGCCATTATACACTCTTATATAGTCTTAGTTGTTTAAAATATTATGCAATTCCTTAAGTATTATTCTCATTTTCTATAGGTTTTTCCTCCTAGATACAAATCTAATGTGTTTACCAAGTTTTTATAATTTCAAGCTTATGTCAAAAAGCTGTTAGTTTATGCTATTTACGCCACAAGAAAATTCTCAACTTGATATTATTATGGTTGCATAACATGGAGCTTAATGCACGATATGATCACTGTCTTGATGAAAACAACACTTTATTGGGAGTTATATGGAACATGCACCTAAGGGCTACAATACATGAGACACCGAGAGTGTAAGTACTTGTCCAAGGCACTATTGCTGCAACCTGAGCACTTGGCCATGCATATCCCATCCTGAATAAACAGTAATTGTTCTTATTTATAATAAGATGCAATCCTTATTTTACAACCATCTTGAATGATTACCAAATGTTTATTATGGTTCTAAAGTAAGCATTCTAAGTTGCCAAAGTCGTTCCATTCAAGTTACCATCAGGAGCACCAAGGTGTAGGACCATGATAAGTTAAAAATGTAACATTGATATGATGACTTTTAATTCATTCTTGATAAACGACAATTTTTTTTAGATTCCTTTTGCTTCGACTATTACGGTCTTGTATCAATAAAATAAAAGAAACACCAAGTTAAATAAAATGGACCGTCATGAAATTTGAAATGCAAAGATTATGTCCTAAACAGTAAGAACATGCATGAAATGTTATCATACACCACTAGTGTGAATACACGTTTTTACCGATATAATGCTATAAAACACCTAAATCTATTTTAAGAACTCATTACAATTTCTTAAGCAAGATATGGAAGTCCGTAATAATAAGAACATGTCTAAAAGCCAAAACCTAAAGAACACGTAGAGAATCTGATTTTTCAGGACACATACATTATGCTTCAAAATAACTTTTAGGTTAACCCTATGAAATATAACACACAAAGAAACATATGTAACGTTTTCTTGAAAATAAACACTAAAAGCGTAGCATTTTTGGACTTCCAAAATGCTAAATAACTACATGATCTAACACAAAAAATCAAAGAAACTTACCAAAATCAAAGTAGATTCAAATACAAAGAGATATAAATATGTCATTTGATCGAAAAATCAGTAATTTTAATTATTTCAGATGTAGAACGAGAGAGAAGTTTCAAAATTGTTTGATGCAAATTAAATTTTACAAATTATATATGTGATCCCATTTCAAATTATGGTGGTCATTTCGATAGCTTCCGAAAATATAGGTTATTGGCTTAAACACTCAATAACCATGAGTTCATTTTCATGAATATCCATATTTTTCTAATATGTATTAGAGGTGTCATCGCTTCGATATACATCCAATGTTTTTGGATATAACTTATGATCTAGTTGTCGAATATTTTCAACATAACAGATTGGTTTATAATATATCCAATCCAATTGACTATGATAAATCAATTCGATTTGATGTGATTAATTAGATATCAGATTTGATAGATTTTATCTGTTGAATATCTACTATCGATTATCCAATAGCATTCAATTACGACTAACAAAAGTTACCATAAACTGAGAATCAATTGAACTATTTACATTTTGACATATAAATATATGTATTAGTAAATTTATATATATTAATCGGAAAATTGGATAATAACTGGATTGTAATTTTTGAATAACATGAACAAGATTGATTTGCTTTTTATCCGATGTGGATTCCCATCGAAGAACTACCGATATTTATCGACCGGTTAAATTAAGTCGGACCTATGTAAAAGGATAATGGTTCCGTTAATTTATTCGTGTGGATCGTTACGAATACGTGTTTCCCTTGAGATTTACACCTATGCTTTACATGGCCACCACGTGTCGTCGACAAACCCTCCCTAGATACATGTCACCATCACTGCCCCGAATCATGAGGGAGCCAACAAAATCAAAAAAGATAAAAAGAACAAATGCAAATCCAACGCTATAACTATATTCTGCTATTACTGATAGCATCATCGTTGTTGAATCCATCATCAGCAAGCAAACAACCCAGTTTTTGTAGCAGCGAAGAAGTTTTTCTCGAGTCGAATCCAATGGCAACTCTTGGGGGTATAAAGGATTCACCTGCTTCCAACAGCGCCGAGGTCGATGGTCTCGCTCGTTTTGCCGTCGATGAGCATAACAAAAAAGAGGTTTGTGTTTTGTTTGATCTCTATCTGTTAATAGTTAATCTTAGTTTTACACCATGGCTCTGTGTTCTATTTTATTAAATCACTTCTTACGACTAATAAACTAGGGTTTTGAGGAAGGCTGTACGATCATTGGAATATTTGCTTATCATTTTTTGAGTTTGTGTTCGTTTTTAGGGCAAAATTGGAGTTGGATCGATAAACATCCATTGCAAAGACCCTAGGCTACTGCTGAATAGTCGACATCTTGAAATTGAAATCAAACATGAAACCGAGACCAATTTTATAGAAAAGCCCCTGCCTTCAACCAGATTTAACAGAGGCAAGAAGGTTGTAAGATAGTTTTAGCAAAATAGGAAAAAGGCTGTAAACAATTGAATTATTTAGGCAAAAATGATGATTTAGGAATAACTAGGGATTTGAGGAAGGTTACATGACATGATCATGCAAATAAATTTTGATTAGGATTTGAGTTGGTTTATATTTTGAGGAAGATTGTAAGATATTCAGAATCAGAACATAATACAATTGCAAAACTAGGGCTTTGAGGAAGGTGAGGTGAAATTTCTCAAAATCTAAGCAAAATCAATGAGTACTTTTTGATTAATTTGTATTTGTTATGGATTCAAAAGGAATGCAAAGAGATATCTTGATCTTAGCCTATTATAGCAATGGACATTGTTTTGTATTTAAATGACATTGCTATAGAAACGAAAGTAGGATGCTATAATAAAAAAACAGTAAAAGTACATTGCTATTTCTTGCATTTAACCCTTTCTTTTTTCAGAATAAAATGTTGGAGTTGGCAAGGGTGGTAAAGGTGCAAGAGCAAGTGGTTTCTGGGACTTTGCATCATCTTACTTTGGAGGTTGTTGATGTGGGTGAGAAGAAATTATATCTTGCCAAAATCTGGGTGAAGCCATGGTTGAACTTTAAGGAACTTCAAGAATTCACACATATTGGTGATGCCACCACCACTTCACCTAATCTTGATGTCCAAAAAGGTAACATATTTGTGTGTGTGCAAGAAATAGCAACATACTTCAATTGATTTGTTTCTTATAGCATCCAATTTTCAAGATTTTTCTAATCGTTATCGATTTATTAACCAAAATCTTGAAAGCAGATGATGAGTCGATGACTATTCATGGAGATTTCCAGGATGCTGCAAATCATGCCCTCAAGACACTGCAACAAAGGTCTAACTCGTTATTTCCATACGAACTTCAAGAAGTCGTTCATGTAAAAGCAGAGGTAATTTATTTAACCTTTTCTTTTTATGTCATCAGATTCTGATCATGACATGACAGAATAGGTTGTACTGTATTTGACTTGACTTGACTGAACTGGGATTCCAGACTGATTATGTCTATGTTCCACCTCAAAAGGTGGGATGGGAACTCGACTCAATCTTGTTTGTGCAAAAGACGTAAATGCCCTTGTCATTGAAAATAGATCTAACATGTTTAAAATTAACACAATGTGGCAGACTGTGGATGGAACTGCGAAATATGATCTGGTGTTGAAGGTGAAAAGGAGCGATAAGGAAGAGAAGTTTAAGGCGAATGTTCACAAGGACAAGGATGGGAATTATCATGTGAACAACATGGTGCAAGATCACTCCTAATCTAAACATGGTTTATAATGTTGACAAAAGAGTGTTTTTTGTGTGTGATAAATAATGGTTTGTAACTGAATCATACTTTCAGGATCACTACTACTTTGTATGTTTTATGGTTTGCAACTTGAATTGTTTGGATTTTGTAAAATTCTCTTTTGTTTAATTATAGTTTGTGTGTTTTGTTTAAATTTTGACTATGTTTTGATATATACCTTTTTTCGGAAACTGTATTGGATTTTAATTGAAGGATCAAGTTAAAGTTTAAAGGGCTAGAGTAACATTAACCCTTACTACTAATAAAACCATAAAGCTGAATTTTCTTATATAGCAAAATAACAATGAAATTACAAGCAACATGTGTTATTGAATATGGACATCTCTCACCTAACCACTCTCAAATCCATATGACTTATGGGTTGCTCTCCTACAACTTCAACCCTATTCAACAAAATATTCCCCAATATGAAAATCAACAAGCCAAACGTGTGTTAACTCATATTTTTCTATAAGAAATAAAGAAATTAAAACTTTAGTAACACCTTTTAATGATTCCCATATCCATTGTGATGCAACTTTTGCCATCTCCACGCGACCTGTAAACTTTTTTCAAGATCCGTATACTTTGCAGTCCAATTAAGTTCCCGAAGTATCTTTGAAGGGTCACTAAACACTTCCGCATAGTCACCAGGGCGACGTGGCAAATAGTCAACTTTGACCGATACACCAGTTGCCCTTTTACAAGCTTCAACAAACTCCTTCACCGATCTACCATGACCCGTTCCAACATTGTAGATTCCAACTTCCCCTGGTTGTGCTTTCGCGAGTGCTTTTACATGAGCATCAACTAAATCGGTCACATCAATGTAGTCACGTATACATGTCCCATCTGTTGTTTTGTAATCGGTTCCTCGAACCTTGAGGCCATCGGTAATTCCACGTGCTGCATCAAAGCACGCAGCCGATATTCTTCCATGTTCACGTAACTCTGGTCTTGGCGCTTCTCCTAACCTCCCCTCTGGATCAGATCCAATCACATTGAAGTATCTAGAAATTATCGAACAACAGTTATTTGACAAATTTTTAAAAGGATTTTAGGGATTCTATATGGATAAATGATATTTTATAAAATTATTTGAGAAACTAACCTTAGAATCATGACTGCCATGTCTGAGTTTTTATGGAAATCAAGGATAATATCTTCCGCCATTTTCTTGGCTGTTCCATAAGGGTTAATCGGGTGCTGAAACATGCAACAGAAAAACAAGATGTTAACATACGCCTCAATTTTGTAAGGGTAAAATGGTCATTTGGTACCTGAGGGGTTTCTTCTGTAATGGGCATCTTATCAGGTTCCCCATATGTTGCACATGTACTAGAGTATATCAAAGTATTCACATTATGTGCTGCCATAGCCTCCAATACCAAAAGGGTATTTGATGTAATGTTGTGATAATACCTGACAAAAATGCAGATTTTAAAAAAAATAAACAAGGGCAAATTTGTAAAAAGTTAGAACTTAATAGGGAAAGCCTCTTTTTCCTAATATACTTACTTTAAGGGATCAAGGGTACTCTCTCCAACATATGCAACGGCTGCAAAGTGCATAACTGCATCAAATGCATTTTCTGAGAAGATTTTGTTTACCTAAAATGTTTTATCAAGGAAACAAGATATTATAGTATTCATGTATGGTTGTTTGTAAAAAAAAAATGTTACTTTGTATTTTATCGAGCTTTTTTATCCTATGTTTGAAAGGATACAGCTTTTGGATCCCCCAAGTCAGCATAAATGAATTGAAGTCTTCCAGGTTCCGGAAACAGGTTTTGTAGAACTTTGATTGCTCCTAGGTTTCCACGCGAAAGATTGTCCTAAAAACAGAAACACCCATAAGGGCAGATTTTTAAAAATTAAATAAAGGAAAGTTTTGTAAAAAGTTAGGACTTAATGGGGACCCTGACTTTCTCTATTAAGTCATTCTTTCTGTAGTAAGTCAAAAGGAAACACTCATACATAGCTTACCAGATTAAGTCATGTCCACATTAAAGATGTTTATAGTTAAATAAAGAATTAGCCAGAAATTACCACTATAGTGACACGATGAGAATCTTTTAGAAGGCGTAGTGCAGCATGTGAACCAATATAACCAGCACCTCCTGTTACTAACACGTGAGTAATCCCTGCTTCATGACTAGAGAACTTCAACACAAGAAACATAAATAAAAAAAAAGTTAGATAATCAGACTATGGTGGACTTATGTAATAGCAATGTACTTTCATTTTTTGTTTATTATATTTATAGCATCTTGCTTTCATTTCTTTCTATTGCAACATTGTACTTTCAATTTTTTATCCAGACATTGTACTTTGAAAAAATCTACCAAATTATAAAGTTATAATTTGCTATGATTATGCAGATTTTTCAAAGTACAGTGCTATGATAGGAAGAAATGAAAGTAGGATACTACCAATTGGAAGTAGAAGCAACAAATGTGTGGATCAAAAACAAAAAGATAACTGAACAAAAAGTTATTTTTTTTTTTTTTACTTACTGGGCTAGGGCTGCTGAGAGATGGGGAAAACTTGATTATTGTGATGCATAAAGCTACAAGACTTGTAGCAAATATAATCTTTCTTACAAGACCACTTTTCTTCACTGGATCCACAAAATCCATGCCTACAAAAACAGCAAAAAGGAAATAACTTCAACCTTTTAAAGTTTCATGGTATAAACTTATAAAGTAATCAAGACAAAAGAATATTCATCAGGCCGGCTGGCCTGCCTGTCTGGACTTTATGCACTTAAACTTTTATTAATATCAACTTGATATTATCAAGTCAACTGTTTGCAATTAGGGAGAAAAAGTCAAGGAAGAACATTCATACCCAATAATGCAAAGATTAAAGATATAATAAATGGATTATAAAACATTAAATCTAATGAGATAACTAGTGACTGAGATTGTGATTGTAAAGTTACCTCCTAAAGAACTGGGTCTGTTAGACCGAGTTCTTGACTTGGTGAAGTTGAACATTTGCAAATGAATTCTTCCTCTCTGAAAAAAATTGTTATCAATTGTGAGATATAGAAGAAATTCAAAATCTAACTCTAAAGGGGGGATGCAATATTGCAATTCACATTAGATCTTCATGAGATCATTACACTTGAATTGATTTCAAATATCGGTTGTTACCTATATGAAGACGATGACAAAAAACTGAAATTCAAACATGCAAGTTTTGTATAACGATTGGGCAAATGGGTACCTTTAAAAAGGTAAAAAATCTAAAGAACTGAGTGCAATAAGTCTAGGAAAGAAAAAGAAAATGGAAGATTATAAAGAGAGCAAAAGGGACACTGAAACTCGCACATGACGTGATTTGATTGAGTGAAGATTCAGAAAAGGTAAAGCTGATTGAAGTAAATACCACTTCAGAGGGGGAAGAAAAATTGACAAAGGCTCAATCATCAATCGACAATCGCATTCAAGAGCATGATCGTATATGATCTAAACCATATTTACTTTAGTTTCAAATCCAAAGACAAATATCAAAATGCAAACATGCAAGAGAAACTGGGTCGAGTGAAAACTTTTTGGTTAATGATCGAGTGAATGGGGTAGCTTAAAAAGGTAGCAAAAAGTGGAGATCCATACTACTTTAAAAATTGCAATTGACCTCTCAACACATGTGATCATTTGATTGAGTGGGTTGCAGAAAAGGGTAAAGCTAATAAATGTAAACACTACAACACGATGAGAGATTGAAATGTAGAGATACATTACATACCAAGAATTGTGGAAGAAGAAGAATAGCTGTGTTCTTGAAGGAGACCAAGTCTTACAGTTTCCTTCTCGTTCCTCTGGTGTGTGTCGATTTTCTGCGTACATTAATGGCGGAATAAATGAATCTGAATTTGTACTTCCATGTTAGTAGATACGTTAGTCGTAGGGTGAGGTGGGTGAGGTGAGGTGAGAGTGGGGCAGGGTGGATTGGAAAAGCTGCTGCCTGCTGTTTATATGTTCTTTTCACATGTCGTTATTCGGATCGGATCGAGCAGAGATACATTTATATTAAATTAAATTTATTTAAATTAAACAAAACTATTTATTTGATAGGATAACAACAATATATAATATACATAGTTAGGTTTTTGTAGTATATAGTTGAAATTCTTGAATTTTTTTTTATCAAATAAGTGTTAAAAAAAATATTTATCAAATATATTTACCAAAACTCAAAATATTTACTATTGTTAGATTTAGCTAAGACTTATTTATCAAATAGGTGTATTTTCAAATGTTCTTTTCACTTATTTATTTATTTATTTATATTATAAGGATACGAAATTATATTTTTAGGGTTTAAAAGGTCACTTTGAGAAAATGGAAAGGGTCACCAGGTGAACCCCTTCTTAATCAACATGTTTAATATGTCACATCAATTAATAATATATCACCTCAATTGTCATGTAATGTTACAATAATTGACTTAATGTAATGCTTTTTAGAAGTTGAATAAGAACAAGAAAATATCTCGATATCGCTTTCACGTTTTGCCTTTTCTTGTTTCTCTTGAAAATCGATCAACTAGATTCTTGCTATGGCCGTTTACATGAAAAACGATCTTCACTTCCAATAAGCTTTTACGAGGTACCCTGTTATAATAGCTACTAACATAGACTATATGATTTTCATTGAAATAGGGTATGTTTGTGGTTGTATCCTTCCTGTTTACATTGATCATGTTGATGTGAATCTTCAGGATTGGCTTAATGATGAGAAAGCTGAAGCAGTCTTGAAGACAAGCATTCATCTGCCTAACAAATCCGAAAGCAGCAATCCGAGCAGCAACTAACAAAACCTTCAATAACTAACGCTCAACTTGAGAATTCCCAATTCTCCCCCACTTAGGGTTCTAACTATCACCCACTGGGTTGAAACCAACTCACAACTTAAACCGGCTCAACCGGGTACAATGATTCCTGACCATGGAATGAATAACGTACGCAAAATGATCTTCCCGATACAGATTAATCAAATCCCAACAGAAACCTGAATTTTCAGCTGAAGACCTCTGAAATCCCCACTTATAACCGCTTACAAACATAGACAACTACCAACCTACGACCCAAGCATA